TGGCTCCTTGGAATCCAAAATTTCGATTGGCGTCCCATGAGTGCAGGCCACAGACATACTAATCGGCATTGCTGCATCCAACCAAATTTATACTAGGTGTATTTTATGATTTGGAAGGGATTGATGCCCTTGTCGTTTTGACAGTGTCATGTTTTAAGCAAGTTTATATGGTCGGTGTGTGTTTGGGCGTCAGTAGTCAAACAACCGTCAAGGCGAACATCCCTTCACTTCTCAGCCTTCACAAACATCCTATGCCACGTACACTCTGGCCATTAGGTAACCTCGAGGATTATGTTATCGGACAATCAACGACACGAGCTGATGGCATGCAGATGCGTTGTGTTTGGTGCTGCGCCATCTACCACTAAAAGCCCACCAAGGATGTAGCCAGAGGAACAGAGACCTAACCGTTTATTCGAGCACTGGACCAAAAAATCGTTGTGCGTGTCATCGGTGGCTTTTGCGCCTGTATATTCATAGCTCAGATGTGAGTCATAAATGTGCTTACATCGAGACCTAGGTGTGATGATAATCCAGGATTATCGTTCGCACTAATGAGGGGGGTGTCGAGGATCCGCACGACTGGCGACATGTAGTGAAAAAGGAGACCTTGTGTCGGAGGCAGAAGTGACCGGATTAACGAGTGTCAGTCAAAGCGATTCACGACGTGCTTATTGTCCTAAGCGTTAACAGCGTAAGCAAGCATAAGAAAGTAAACATACAGCCCTCAGACAACCCTGATAGTCGTGAACGCAGATGGTGGGCCGATGGGATGTGGGGAAGACTAGGCACACGGCCGACATGAGAATGTCGTGAGTGGTGTAGAGTGAGAGGGCAATGGAACTAAGAGGACTAATCCAAATTAAACATTACACGGCCACCGTGTTGTGCATTGCATCCAACTAAAATCTTCACATCAAGTGCTAAATATAGGGCATGTTCAAGTTTATGCATCGCTTTGAAAATCATTTTGGACAGTAATAAGACAGGTAGGGCTTAGTCGGACACCTATAAAACAAGTAGTCAGCCGATTTTATTCTAAAAACGTTGGTAGCTACTGTTCAAGTCGGATCGTACACGGTTCTGCGACTTCCCTAAAATAAACGCGTGAACCACGCCACCGAATCGGTGAAGTGCTTCAGCGGATTCCAGAGGATATGCTACAGCATCACCCCTTGGTGGTATGTTGTGAGGTTGATTACCAAAGCGTTTCCCTGTCGAACACCACGAGCGCCTGTTCCGTCAATACATAGGCTCTTTTGTTGTGTACGGATGTGCGATGCTCGGTGAACACGTCTTCGTGCCTTAACGAAATTTTAAGGTGAATGCACAGCGCATTCAATCCGGACACATCGACACCGATCGAATGAACTAGATTGCTCGGTTGGTGCTAATTAACACACAAACCACTGGCCAATTGCCAACAGGCTTCCGTTTCGTTGTCTCAGCATCAGACATCCCGGTCCAGCATCCAAATCGATTCTACTAACCGATGTCCGTATCCTGTGTCAGTGGATGTCTACTCAGAGTGTCCAATGAATGATACTTCAATGAACCCAATGCACGGAGACACTAAAGAGGCTGACTAGCATCTCACAGGATGCACCTTTAGGAGTGGTTCAACTGCCAACATCCACAGAAGTCCCATCAGAACAAATGAACACAATACACACGCGGTGGACGGGGTTACATTTCCAAAACAAAGAATTTGGAGACGTCGTCAATGAGAAGTTTCGCAAATAGACCCAAAGAAGAATACTAATTCATCAGTGGGAATACTTGATTGAAACATCAGTAGTTGTTGAGACAGTTTTGCGCATAATTTAAATTTTGAGACTGTTTACACAGGTCCCTTAAACAAGCCACTTCATTCGGTCACACAACTTCTAAGTTCCCCCCACTGATACCTATTAAATCACGCTGATTCCATTGGAGAAACGTTATAATTTGCTGCACCACTGGATAAACCACAATTAATGAGTTTCTATAGTTTTTAAATGGCAAGGTCATTGGGTTCATGTGCTCGGATCTTGTATAGTACACAAAATGCACTTTTCCTCTGTGACTAAATGGAGGCAATCATCATGAAAGGATTAAGTGATCCGTGCGAGATTTTCGATAGCATTTTTCCCGATTTCTCTATTCTAGCGATTTGCTTGAATGACTCAAGATAGATACGAATTTAGGGCAGTTGCATCGCAAGTACATTCAACGAATTTCACACAGACGGCACTTGGAATGCCTATTAGCTTGTTTCACCTTCATATCAACTTCCCCCTTACCCGAAGACAGGTTCCGTCAGCCTGCAGTTTTGTTAATAATTTGGGAAACCCAGTATGGCAAAGCTAGTTGATGGCTATGTGCAGTCGTGCCCCAGACTTGCGTCCTCCCTTTACTGACTACCCATTAAACCGTCTGCTCATTCACGAACTACCTTCACTACCCGGTTTGTAGCGGATTAACAGCGAACGCGCCTGAGTGAACCCTGGTTGCCGACCTGACGGTGACAATGACTTGTCGCCTTTTCACTGGTTACTGTATCAGATGCCTGTCATCCGTTCACTCACTTACACATTAAGACACACTTGGCTGGAGCGACGATAATAAACGGTTGTGTCCTCTGCAGCCTCTTTTTCCACTCTTCTCGGGTTGTTTCGGGCTGTTAACTAGAAGGTTGTAACGTAGTGCTAGACCCTAGCCACTGCAGGTTTATTCATCTGGCCATTCAAGCATCTGCACGTTAACTGCTTCACCTGAATTGTAGTAGACATGCATCACTACTACCCGCCCAATCCATCTATCCATTCCGACACTCGAAGGTTAACTAGCACGACTGTAGCGAGAACTACATGACTTGGTTGAACAGCCTAATAAACGGTTGTGCCTCAGGCTCCACAATTCTCCTTGTCTTCGCGGGTACCAGGGTTGCGTAATCGGGTAAGCTTTAACCCACTGGCTCCGGCGTGGTTTAAGATTACACGCAGGGACCCTCAAAAATTGACACCAATGTAATTCCTCTCAACAAGTGTCACAGTGTCATTTTAAGGAGAGCCTGACCTTGGTGGTTTATTCGAATTGCCAGTCCTCGTTACTGATGTCATTCAATTCCCGCTAAGCCGACACAAGAGCTGATCAAGCACCCGAAGTCTCGATGTAAAAGTCAACTTCAATTCTTTTCATTTCCAATATCTTCAAATGTGTTTTTTTACGAGCCGTCAAACTCGGATGCGCTACTCTATTTTCTGCATACCTTCCTAATTCATCTTACATGCTTATTCTCCACATTACCAGCTCTAGCAATCTGCAGCACCACCGGGAATCCTTGAGTGTGAAAGATAGACTGTTAAGCAACGAGGGTGCATCAGTTAGCAATCGGGAGAACGTTGACTCGGTGTGTGTTGGGGATCCACGATTCCCCAAGATTTGTTAGTGATGCTATTTACATTTATTCACTAAAATTTGTTTTGCTACGCCTTTTTTCAAGTCAAGGTCAACCCTGACTTGAATAAGTTTCACTTTCGATACTGCACTCCGCACGTGGCTGACGCGATCAAAGCTCTCTACACGAGCTCTGGTCTTGTTCTTGTATTAGCCTGGGCAGGTCGGTTCTAGCTTCAGCAAGGGATCTGGTAGCATTATTTGAGTGGTTTTCTCTTTGTTACGGGCAAACGTAACAGTGTGCATGAGTGTGCGGTTAAAATTCGAATTCCCCCACATTTCGGAGGTCCACTTAGTATCCACAGATTCCTCCTCAGAGAAGATGCAGTTAATCCAGTGGTTGTGAGTTGTCGGCGTAAATAATACACGACATATTCATTCGGCAGTTTGTGAGAATGATTTTATTTGGACAGGCTGCTCGGCAGCACAACGCTGTCCTCCTTAATGTGAATGCACACAACTGCAGCATCGTCATTTATCTTGCTAAAATTGAATTTTGTTTTCCATCTAACCACTTTTATACCTGTAACCATAAAGTAGGTCTCAGAAGACCTGGCAAATCGATACGAAGGGATCGATCCCACTGTCACGGGTTATGGCCACCACTGAAGTTGATGCTTTGTGGCTCACACATAACAAATTAGTCAGTGATGGGAACTGAGGAATTTCCGCTAGTTTAACAATCGATGCCTCAAACACAGCACATTGCTTCTACGTGGCTCATACTTCACACCAACAGATTGGTTTTTTTGCATTCTGCACACAGGAGAACCGTATGCACAGGGTAACACTGACATCACGAAGGGACCTTAACTGTGCGAGATGGAAGCGGCAACAAGTGCATTCTTGCAACATTTATTTCAGTCTGATCTGCAGTCATTCATTACCGAACAAAACAATACTCATAGCAAAGATTCGCTCACACATTGAATCCTTACTGTAAATAATCTCAGTTAGCCGCCGAGATATGTACCTGCCTTGGTAGTATACGCACATTCACATACACACATTCCTTTTTCCTCCTACTACGTCTGCACATGACCTGGGCTGGCACCCGACATCGCGATTAAGTCGGCATTTTCATTTAAGAGTTTCACGTAAGGCAGTTTCCTAGAGCCGCTGAATCATCACTCGGCACTACTTACACTATGCTCTGCTCAGGGTAATACTGTAGGGGCCTAAATTATCACTACCACAACACCCTATAAATAACAGCCGATCACAACCCCAAATGAGAGAAGACAGAGTCGATTGAGAAAACGACCGTTTATTCGCGTCACGCCAGTCAACTCCAGTCAAGAAAAATCGAGTAAGTAACTTCTCTCTGTCACTTCTTGCCTGAGAGAGCAGGCCAGCCTTAGAGTGATGCGACAAGGCGCGTTGAGTTGAGCAATTTCCAAGAGATACTATTTGTACCAAACACGATTCTTTTTCGTCTGTTTTGCGTTGACAAGACATTTGTCAGGTATCACTGCCATAAGGCAGCATCTTTTAATCTGAAACGAGTAAGCAGATTGGCAGAGATGTTCTAACATCTGTGCAATGTTTGCTCGTAGCTCGAATCAGAGGGCCAGGCAGGTCTTCTTCGTGGCGCCATCATGGACATCCTGACGCTGTGATGAGCCGCCTACACGCTGTCTCTCGTAATACAGAGAAGGTGGGATGAGCACGGAACGTTGAGGAAGCAGTGGCCGACGATTCCAGCCGTAGAGAGCAGAGCCTACCCTGAGATCGGTACTTCATCGGACTCATGCTCGTCACTCATCCGATCGATGGCCTTCGATTTGCACACGCTCAAAGCCAATGACGTTGAAGTCGCCATGATTGCAGCCTTACTCAACACTGATCCCAGTGGGCCATTTTCGCTAAAGGCACCTTAACGAAATTTAAATTCAATAGAAATTGGTTACCGTTCGTTTGCTTTCTTTCGAGACCGTTTCGGTTTTTGTGTGTGACCAGGGAATAGTGTTGTTTTTAGGAGTGTCCTGAAGGAGATCCTTTGAGTCTACACGACTCGCCTTATAAGCACGTTGATGCCAGATGAGACACTAAAATACATTGGAGAAGAGAATGCTACTTGCGCTTAATTTCCAGTTTTTCTATGCACGCACCACAAATACAGCTTGGCCCCACTCCTGCCATGTCATTGGCTTTCAGTTCAAGTTCCAGGTGTCTGTACATATCTACCAAACACATGCTCTTGCCACCTCAAAACCCACTTTTCTATGCCTTCACAACGCAACCCGGCGTGGCGTGCTTCACCAGTATTCCACATATCATGCATTCACGCTTCCATCTGCTTCAAGTAATTTATCCTGTTAACGATAGATCAATCCATGATGTATTTTCTCACGGGAAACTTCCTGGTGATTGACTGATTAGGCCACTGGATTGTAGGGGTCAGATCACGCAAAATGCAGGAATGATTTGCAGACAATCATCAAAAATAGGTCAACTCCCCGGCAACAGGCTTGGTTTTTGCAACAATGCAAACAGAACGTCAACGAGACCAGTGAAGCGGAGGTGATCGTCAGTTAATCTGTCAGTGGTATGCGTGATCGCCAGTGGACACTTTAATGCAGTCTGTGGGGTTTGGGCACAGTGGATTAGTGTGCGCCGATTGCAGGTCCTCCCTTACACTGACCTCGTATTCCCTGATCGAAACACACAGCAACACGACTTTGGAATCACGACTTACAAATTGTAAATTAAGAAGGAAATCAATCGAAGTGTTAGAAAATTCGAAGCAACGAACCTGGATTCAACCCTGTCGGTGTAGATCGCGAAGTCCTGAATCTCACAGAGAGGAGCGAGTAGGCCTATTCGCCGGTTTGATCTGGCCGTGGAGATTTCCACATGGAATGTCGGAGACGAGTACTTTGGTAGTTTGTGCTGACTGGCACTCATACGCAGGCAGGTCGAATCTAAATTTAAAACAAGTGTCATGTTATTAAACAGCTCAAAAGAACAAACTCTGTTTTAACTTGCTGGTGGTAAATCTTTTCGCATATACTCATTCAAATCTGCTTGCAAACTAGTTCACTCATGTTCTGTAACCCACACACAGCAGCGACGATTTGGTGCAGATAAGTGCTCGCTAATTGATTAATCGCTCATAGTGCTCAGTAAAATAGTAAAACAAAGGCGAATCAAGAAGTATCCACACACTCCAGGCTTATAAATTAACGCTGTTAAGTGGGCACAAAGTAAATAGTACTAACAACATCGATAATTTGGCTGTCATTTTGACAAGAAGCAATACAAATTAGTTCTGCCCAAACTAAGCGTTTGGATATCTGCAAGAGTCTGCTTTCATATGCTGTCATTCAAATGCAGCCAAGAGCTGCATATTTTCACGTGCGTGGTTGAAGAATGGTGGAAAGGGAATCAGCCTTCACCGCTCTACATCCATCAACAAAGGCCGGTAACTGAACTCAGTCGTAAAGTCGACCTCAGTGTTGTCGGGATCTTGGCATGGAAGACACGACCTCATGGCACCAAATTGTGGCTTGCTTTCTTCTTCGTCAACGTTTAAATTGCCAATGGAAGCAAGTTCAGTGGGTCGACAGCCATGAGAATGCTTGCGTGTCAGAAGAAGACATTTTTTCGTTTAGGCACGCTTTTGTGAATGGAAGCTCACTGAAGCAATCCGCGCATTCTGTCATGGATAAAGAATTTCTTTGCAATGCCTGCCAGCACCCACTCTGTCTTCGAGTACTGCATCAGCAGATGTGAATAAGAGAAACACTTGTACCCTTTCGAGTAAGTGACAATCCCAGAACAGCGTAAACAGTAGAATCACATTTCCGGTCCCACTAGATTCTGTCATATCGGTTGATTTGCCATCAGCTACTGTCGTCTTCCTCATCAAACCAACTTTGCCCATCGGAACTTGTAAACTACGCAATAGTCAATACCTTGTGGAAACGCGAATAGCCAACAACTGGCAACACTTGATTTGGTGTCCAGTAGCTTTGATGCAGTTTCCACCACTAACTATAAGGTCTAAATAATGTAAAACAACAATTTTTTGCCCAATCGACATTTCCAAATAAGCAACATGTGGAGAGTGGGCTTTTGGCTTTGTTCACAGACGGTATATTCTAAAGTAAATATTCTCCTTATTGGATATCTACTGCAGCTGTTTCAGCAATGCAGGTTTGCATACACTGTGGACGGATGTTTGATTCTCAGCGAACACATCGTCGTGCCCACCTTCTTTTGTCAACGGCATCCTGCCAGCCACCTCGGCATCGCTAGAATGAGGATGATTGTTAACAGCCGTGTGTACTTGTCGCTTATTGACAGACAAATAGCTGATCATTTGAGGGCTGCTCACGTGCTAGGAGGCCATGTCGAAGTTGCAGAATGCATTAGCGGCGATTCGCACCCTGTGTTGGTGGACGTCTAGTGAACATGCCCAAAAACTGTCATCATGTATGCCAAGTTGACGACGAAGCCATTGCAAACACAAATCCAAATTTTAGTTAGCAGGGAATTTCGGAATTCACCGTGTACGGCTGTGGCACATGCAATGACACAAGCGTAGTTAGCGATGCGCTTTCAAGGCTCAACCAAAGCACAACTCCAATTCGTCAGTATGTAGTAACTTAGCACTGCCTTACCACCTTCTGGTTATCAGCCCGTCACACCCCGAGAAGAGGGGAAATGAGGCGACAGAGAACACGAACGCTTATTAGTGTCCCACGAGCCAAGTGTTTTTTAAGCACAAAATGACGCATGCGTTACAAGCGAATGCTGGCAGAAGCCAACAACAAAAGAGGTGAGTCATTGGTGAATTCGGGCCATCACACACGCAGCACTCACGTGAGGTGGCTGTCTGTCAACTGCCTAATTTCATGGATGACAACTTCCAGTGTCAATAAATTCACGATTACCCAGCGCTCAACTCAGTCAATGCCACAACGACAACTTGCCTCGCGTTTTTTATATTTTTCAGGTCAAATCGTGGTCAGGCAAGTGGGGTCGAGAGCACCACGAATCTCGTCATAATGACAGATGCGACTGTGCGACGTTTCAATTTTCGTGTTGTAAGCACTTTAGCATTCACAGCCAATCATTAGGAGAAATTTTTCCGGTATACCGAACAAGCCATCGCATATGTCGTGACATCTACCCAATTTTACGCAAAATCGTAATTCATCGTAGGCAAGGATTTCACACACTACTTTGTGAGGTTTGATCGTAAGACGCACGAAGTGGATTCCAAAGCATCAATCACAATCAGCCTCTAGTTCGTATATCTGATGAAGATTAACAGTGTCCTGCTTTCGCACGCTAACATAGAGATGGCGCAAGGTCACAGAAAACGATGGACAATATTTCCAAGATTAAAAGCATTCTTCTCTGCCTCTTCGTGCTAAGGAAAGTGAAATATCAACAACATCGTAAAGTTCTGACAATCAACGAAGTAAAATTTAATGCCGAAAAATATGCACACATCGCATCAGACACTTGATTCAGCAAAAGAACATAATTCATGGTTCCTGTAGTTTGTTTCGTCACGTGCTCATTTTGCACGATTTCGTCACAATTAATTCACGAGTAATGAAAGTACCTCATGAATTCAAACTCACCACTTAAAGAATTTCCGAGCATTGTTGAATGCCAAAATTCCAAGGCCAACTCGTTTCTGTCTGGAATGTCCTCTCGAATGAACACCAATTCCAGCAACAGTTAATTAAAACGCATTTACATATGCCGTGACAAACACGGTGTTTCTCTTCAAACCAAATGGTCCACAAATTTGCGAATGAGAGGTTGGGGTGAATGGTGTGTGGGAAGGTGGCAGGGAGGGCGCAGGTTTGTTGTGCAATTCACAGACAAAAAGTATGTTCTGAGACAGCGAGGTAGAGACAGTGCATTTGGTGGATGAGGTTCGGAAAGACAAGAGAGGACTAAAGCTCGCACTAACGACAGAGCATGAGTGTGACAAGGCTGTGTTTGAGCTTATTAAGTCGAAAGACTGGTAGTTATGCGTAAACAGCATTTGTTTGACTGGGTGGAGTTATCTGAGCTGTGATCTACAGCTAGACTCCATGAATGACTTTCGGTAAATCGTCGCTTTTGTCGTTCCCCTCCACTTCCTGCTCCATCTCCTCCTTCTCTCCATCCTCGTCATTTGCGGTGATCAGTTCGTTTAGGTAGCGCGACATGTTGTTTACGCATTTGCAGTGGGTGTGCTTAAATCGCTCTATGTTATCTGAAGTTATGAAGCCCATCTGTATCAAGATGCTCGGCATGCGTTCCTTCAACTCTTCCAAAGTCCCTTCGAGCTTCTGTGTGGATCTACGGTGAGTTGCGTAGGCACGAAGTATCTCCATCAGGTACTTCCTCAAATTTGACACGCTATTCGTGTCAGACAAACCGGAGCGGTCTCAAAAGAAGACAAACAAACAGAATATCTATTCTACCAACCTGCAATCTTGGTGAGGCCTAATTTACTCAGATGACTTACTGGGATTAGCGATGAGTAGGGCTGCGATCATGGCAACTTCGACGTCATTAACTTCGAGTGCATGCAAATCGAAGGCTATTGATCGGATAAGTGACGAGCATGAGTCCGATGAAGTACCGATCTCGGGATAGGCTCTGCTCACTACGGCTGGAATTGTCAGCCACTGCTTCCTTAACATCCGGTTTGCATCCCACCTTCTCCGTATTACGAGAGACAGCGTGTGGGCAGCTCGCAATGTCAGGATGTCCATGATGGCGCCACGAAGAAGACGTGCCTGGTCCAGTGAATCTAGCTAAAGCAAATGTTGCCAACCTAGAACACGATTCTCTTAATTTGTTTACTGCATCAAACAATTAGAGGCTGCCTTACGAAAGGGAATCCCGGCAACTGTATTGCAAATCCAACCAGACGGAAAAATATTGGGCTTAGTGCAGGTGGCAATTGGTTGATATTTGTCGATTCGACGCTACTCGACTCATCACATTGAGGCTGGTTCTCTGTCTAAAGCGAAAAATGTCAAGTAGAGGGGAGCATATGAGACCACACACGGCACAATGAAATGGTAATACGCACAAATCTATGGTATAGACAAATACTTGAGATAATCAGTGGCTTTGTGACTGCAGGAATTGTATCACATATGGCATACTAAGCGTGAATATAATACTTGCCTTGGAAGATGCATCATAACCGTTCAGCCGGTTCGGCACATTGACAACGCGGTATGCTATTGCAATATCCCTCGCCATGTTAACAAACTCCAGATTGGCGGTTGTTTCGTCATTAGAATGGTCTCCAGGAGCAGGCAGAGATTCAGTCGCTTCAATGTTAGCACTGCTTTCTTTCTGGTGGAAGAGGAGAGAGGAATTCGGTGGTGAAACCTGCCTCTCCGACACTGGAGTCACCATCGACGGAAAGGGCATCGGCAGTTGCTGATATGAAAGAGGATTCTGCCACGAGGTGATGAATGGTGGGCGTTGGAAGATCTGTGGTTGGGATGTTCCATTAAAGCCCAAGGAGCCATACAGTGGATGTGGCGGTGGACATAGACGTGGTAGCGCTACGACAGGTCCCATGAATAATGTGGTGTCAGTGTTGGCTAAAGGATGGACAGGATGGAAGTGGGGTACTGGTGCTGCGATTGCTGGTGTTACCGCTGCCGCTGCCAACCGTGGTGGTAGTGAAAATGGGCGAAGCGGCGGAGGCGGCGGCAGACGAAGTGGATATGGTGGTGGTGGTGGTGCTTGTTGTGGTGCTGAGCGAAAGCAGTTACTTTGGCCACCTGAAGTTCCATCCATGGACGCCTCAACCTGCTTTTGAGCTCGATTCGCCTCCACTAGTCGCCGCTTAGCCAGCCGTCGTTCTTCATCCGAGAAAACTAAAATTTTTCACCAACTAATGGTGATCGTCAGTTACTAGGATTGATTGCCTAGGGTGTAGTAACTGTTTGGCAAAGTAGCTTTTGATTTAAATGCTCTAGTTCATAAAGGAAACTTCGCTGGAAAATTGGCCTAGTGTAAGGAAACATGACGAGGGCCGATTCGTTAGGGTCACGGAGAAAGAGAGGAGTAGCGATCACTTGGAAATGAATCGAATGCGCTTAGTTTGTGTTTCAGTTACTGAAGAAAACTTTACCCTTAGACTGCATGTCATCAAGCAGGCAGCCATCAGTCGTAATGAACGACCAGGACAAGCAGTTGATTGCAGCTAAGCCAAGTGGAATAGGCGGTGACCTATTATGTTTGTGAGGCATATTTTGGCATCCTGTGCAAGACACTCTAGTTCCGCTCAAACCGAAAGCAGCTGATTTGTCTTTAGTTGGCCTTTAATCACCACGTCGGGTGCTAGAACAGCTGGGTTTTATCACCCATTCTCAGTGTTGTTACCAAGTCTTTGATATCTGCGTTAATCGTATGTCATGTGGGTGCCATCAAACGTTTCAGGGGGGACGCGCACGTGTGTGTTCGCGTCGTCGGGCCTGAGTGGGGGTCGGTGTGAACAACCATCGATCTAGTTAGGTCTGAGGTCGTGCGTTGGTGCCAGATGCGGGCTCGTAGATGCGGGCGCTCGAAAGCTAGTCTTGTTACTAGAATCTAAACCCTCGATATCAGAGCAGATACATGGTGAGATAGGAGGGTTTGTAGAATTAAAAATAAAAACGCTCTAACAAGTGGTCTTAGATGAAGCACCGTTGTGAACGATTTAAAGTGTCCCAGTTCTGATAAAGTTAGTAAAAGGTAAGGAAAAATCAAATAAAATAAAAAAAACCAGTCAAGCTTTTTATAAAACACCACTTCGATGGTGATGCGCCAAAGGTAGCCGGTTCTAAGTGAGTCCCTAGTGGGCCTCAAAAGAGAAATTTTACTTGGAATCCAACACACGAACTTTTCGAAATGGACGCATTTCGTTCACCTGGAGTGCTAATTATTTTGCTTACTCTCATTCGAGTTTGTGTATGTAACCTCATGGTGGTAGCACAGCTCACAAGCCGAAGCCAACTGACAAGAGGGCAATGTAGTAAAGCACTAGTGGGAGACATTCATAGATGCAGTTACCTGTTTACATAAGTGGCAAATTAGTGTAGTTTCCCAACGCAAGGCACCAACAGACGGCTAATTATAGATAAAGTACCAAAGATCCAAGCAAACAGGCCCAACTCACTTCTGTGTTGCCTTGATGTGGTCGGATCTAAGCAAGCCTCACTTGAAATGCGCTTTGACGGTGCGGTTATTGGTTTGGTCAAAACGAGCCCCTGACATGGCGCTTGTCCACAGAAGGCTTGCGAACTCGCAGGCGGAACAATCATTGGCGCTAACACTCCATAGTTCACATGGTGAGATGGCTGGTAGGACGTCGAGGCGATTAACTGACTGTTTCCTGTTGGCCGATCATCATTTTTCACGGGCCAGCAGTTGAGCCCGAAGAAGTCAGAAGACGTGTTTCGGAGGAATTGGTCGCGAACGAAGCTGGAAGTGGGCGTGCTGTGTGTTGGTGCAGGTTGTGTCGATGAAGTCAAATTATTTGAGGAATCATCGTCTCCCATTTTTCCGAGCATATTTTCAAAGTGGTCGAGAAGCGACTGTGTCTCCTTTGCCATGAGAAATCTGCAGTAATGAAGCACCAACTTAGTGGTGGTTGTGGTGGTAGTCGCCGTGTGTTTGAGCGTGCGTTACCCTGCGCGCGTGAATCCGATTGGTCGTGTGAGTGAGCGCAATGAATACGTGGACAAGGCAATTGGTCGAGCTCGATGGCCACTTGGCTAGAGGTGGTTTCATGATGACCATAGGGTCATGCACATGGTTTTCACCATCTGGTATGCTGGTGTGGATTAGAGCTACAATAAAACAACTCATAAATGCTCAGTCTAACGAACAAAGTATCCCAACCAAGTAGACCCAGCACTTGTCGCATGTGTTATCTAAAACACACACATAGTATTTGAAACTGCGTTTTCATCCATGTAGTATCCTATACAGGAAGGCACGGCTGGAGCAATTAATGATGGGAAATGATGATTAAAACATATGAAAAATGAAGGCCAGTGGAAGATAAGAGGTTTAAATGGAACAGGATGGGATCGGCAACAGTTTAAGTTGTCAAGTGCCGAGTTACAGTGGCCAACACTTCAAGGGGTTTGTGGAGATGGTGCAAAATTAACAAAAAACTCGTCTCAGATCCGAGCCAAAAGTAGCTCCACTCACCCGACTTCTGATGCCTGAAGACAAGAATTAAAAGCGACGTCTTTTCACGACTTTCAAGGCATCGCTGTTTGATGTCGGAGTTAGGTGAATTGAGTTAGGTGAATTGTGCTGACACGCAAGCTTAGTCTGACGGATCGATTTTACTGAGTGGCGAAGTGAACAAGTTGTCGTGTCGTGTGCAATGTTTAACACACTACTCATGACCTCATTAATCAAAGGCTTTGTAATTCTGTGACGCTTCAGTTCTTCTAGTAAACTCGCATTAATTCTCTTACCGCAAAGTGTAGATAGTGGTAGTTATAATCGTAGTCTATGCGGTCGATTGAATGAAATCAGAAATCACACGTGACACTGTCAAATAACAAGTGATTAATTTTAAGACAAAATGCTACGTTCGAATATGTTTACACATGTTGATCCCTACCAAAGAATTCGTGGCATCTCGCACCATCATTTGTTTACAATAAAGGGTAAAAATTTAAAATGCATTTGGTGTGAAGGAAAGCGTCAGCAGTGACAGCGAATTTTCGAAGTTAGCATTTGGTGGTGTAGTAGGTGGGACTGAAAAATGTCTGGACTAAATTCAACGCAATCGCGACTCAACTTCCGCAGCCTAAAGCACAATGACAATGGTAAGGTTGAGTCATAGGCTACATGAATGCCGTAACACAGAATTTGTGGAGTTTTGAGAAGTATTGTCTCAGTAAATAGGCTTCGATCATCAAAGCTGTGAAATGCAAAATCTATGTGTTAGTAAACACTACGGAGAATATCTGGAGACTGGTAGCTGATTTGCAGGTATTAGTCATGATGTGAGTTCATCACTTTCGTATGTTGTGTGGGTAGAGGAATGTGTGATTGCAACATAGCTCCCCCAACCGGTCTAGCCATTGTTGCCGCAGATGTGCGTCCACGTCTGTGCAAGCACCGAGGTCACGCGGACATGCGGCCGTTTAACGCCAGTTCCATTTGGGGATCAGCAGGCACGCTGACCGCCACGCTGTCCGCGGACTGCTGCTTCCCACAGAGTCGCACATTCTTTCTGGTCTTCTCAAAAATTGGCAGAATATACCAAAGTTATTAATGTTTCCGCTTGAGTACATCCTCAACGTCTAATTGATTGATGTGGGTGCGCACCAAGAAATTGCTGCTCGCGTTAGCAGCAAATAATGCAATTTATTCTTACGCTGAGGCAGTGGTTTTGTGTTTGGTTGACTGCACCAAATCCTGAGCAACTTTGATGGTATTCATTTGTGATGGAATTAACCTGGTGAATCGTGTTTACAATTTACGTCCAGACTGAGAAGTTAATTGAGGTGACTGAAAGAAAAATGTGAAAATGTGTGAGTAGATGGGATCAAATATCAACCTCTGTGATTGGGAACCACACACGACGGTGACGTCATCTTAATTGAATCCAACAAACGACCTCACCTACGAGTCATTTGTCGCGGATCAAAGTGCAATTGACTTGAATACTGCGCGATATTATTAGCAGTTCATTCAAGCAAACATGTTAACCAATCTCCATGCAGTTCAAGCGTCGATTCAGTACACCGCCACTGCCTTAATCAGTATCGTAACCAAAGACCGAGGGAGCCAGGCAAATCTTGTCACATCCAAAAAGAGTTCCAGGTACCAGCTCAGATACCAAAACACTTCCACTTCTCGATGAATATGCAACGTCAATTCGTCACCACTACCAATGCATCACTCTTCTTTAATTTGGACTCATATGGCCAACCCCTTTAACAATGCACTTGATCCGTGTCAGCGGAATCAAGGTCCGTCGCGTCAGACTCCACCCAGTTAGTCCTTTTTAGTTCCCTTAGAAAACACTGTTTCCTTTTCAAGCCAAATAGC